GAGGCCTAATATAATTCTGATTTGTCAAGTCCCACGGCGTTCCTAAGGAACGCGAAAGCTGACTGTCTGCGTATGCTACGTGCCGGGTTATGGATGAAATCCAGTAGAATGATGCTCCTGTTGTAATACATGTTCCAGCCATGTATTCCAGCCCTAACCTTATCCCTAACCTTAACCAGCACTTAACAGCTCTCGAAGTCTCTAAGTCTAAACTTTAGTGTTTTCCAAAGTGATTTAAGTAAAATGAATGTACATGTGTGGATTCATTCCAAATGGTTCTCATGTTTCCTCATTTTTCCCGATCTCGTAATCTAGGGATGTGTTGGGTTGGAAGTGTAACATATTGACGATTTGTCACCTAGCGTAAAATGTTATGCTTTGGGAGTGAGAATGTGTTGTGAAAAAACATAGCACTTCAGTCTGGCTGCTTGGAAACAAAATCTGAAGAAATAAGGGGTAAATCGAGACCTTTGCACAGCACTGTATATTAATATCCTCTACTGTGTGTGTGTGTCTGTGCCTGCAGTACAGAAAGCCACATCTCTCTTCATAGCTAACACAATGGACTACTTGCACTAGGTAGTCCATTACACCCATGAAACATACCACATACAGTCATTACTGACTATATGTTGTTTGGGGGGTTTTTTGTGGGACACTTCTTGTGTCGCACTTGACGTGCTGTCGCTGAGGTAAAAAAAGTGGGACATATGGTTGCGATATACAACCTTATTTCCCTGACTGACAGTAGTGTGGTTTTCAGCACAAGCTGCAGCACCAACGTCACCTCCTTCAAAGAAGAAAAAGCTTCAGATTTTGTTTTTCTAAGATTAAATTTGACTCATTGGAACTGAGTTTTGGTTCAGAGAAATTTCCACCAGGATCAGGATCTGTAGCGACTGCTGCAGCTGGATGTTTAGTAACAGTTTGGATCAGACGACCATACCAAAACCGGAGCAGATACAAACATTACAGTCAGTCAGGATGGCAGCGAGTGGAGGTAAACTAGACAAGTGAGATATACCCTTGCAAATATCCGCTTCCTTTAAACTACAGGTATGTAACCTGAATGCTGTTGAAACTCTTTCAAAGTCAGATATTTTACACTTTCATCACTGAATGTGTCATTAAACAGAAGGCGATGGTTGCTTTGTTCTTCGACCCACTGGTGTGGACCACCACGTGCAGAATACCACACAAAAATAAACAAATGATCCAGGCATCCATTTAAATTTATTACACAGTGAGAGACAAACTCACTGGTTTTTGCAAACTGATCCACCTTCATTTCGTTCATGCAGACTTCAGTCTGACTGAACTGTGACAGGTGAAATCATGAGGCTCTACTAAAGGGGTCAGATGTCATCCAAGAAACATATTTCGAAGTTCAAGGCTCAATTTATCCCACACATCAAAATTTTGTCTGGCAAAATCCAGTCTTAACATAATTTTTAACTCATGTGGCAATTCTGCTTTCCCACTGTGGAACATTTTTCATGCCTTAACTGTGTGAAATACAGTAAATGTTCAAGACTGTAGCAGGACAATAGTGTCCCAGAATTTAAGAGCATTTTACAAACCGTCACTCCTGGCTCGCCTCTGTCTCCTCTGGCTCCTCGTATGCCTGGACCACCCTGAAACAAACACCAGAGACACACGG